TTGCACTTCTTTTGGCTCAGCTCAGCTTTCGCTTCGCCTAGACGAATTCCACAATAATTAGTGAACCGTGTCGAATGTCCCACTTAATTAGGTGCACATGTGCCTTCGCATGGAACAAGGTGGGATTGGGGAATGGGGACTTAGGAGTAGGGTGTTGGGTGTTGGGTGTTGTTACTGTGGCAACAATGTGCGCAGCTCCAGCCCCAGCTCCAGTTCCAGCTCCAGCCCCAGCTGCTGTTATCTCGGCATATCATTTGATTGTATCTCGTCGGAATGCAATTCATAAAATATTGCAAAACGGACAGCTTTGAATTTGAATTTGCGTCGTCGAAACGAATAAACAATTAATAATAACATTTAATACATGCCAGGGGCCATTGTGTGTAGATGATGTAAAGTGCACACATTGTAATTAAATGAATTTCTATTTTGTTTATTTGATAACAAATGAATCTGCGCCACAGATTGGGCCGAAAAACTAGCTGTCCGTTGATGTGTGTAATTGCATAACAAAATTGGCAAGAATATTGAATATCCTTTGAAAAAGACTGAATTATTCAAGGGAGCGAAATGTATTTTCATTTTCAATTGTTAACTACTTGAAATAAATATTTATATATTACTTACATAATTCCATTATGCTGTTATGTAGTTTGGCAAATATTATTGCAATTTGTTTCAATAATTTTTCTAGACCAATCGATTTTATATAAATATTTTGAATAGCTGCATACTTACATGCATATATGTACATACATACATACATATACATACATATGTGGTTTCCATTTGTCAAGCACAAGCTAGGATACGCACGAACACACTCGCAAATACATGTACATACATATGTATATGTATTTTAGCAAGTTTTAAAAATCATTTCTCATCTTGACACTTTTCATCGAAATGTCTAAAAACAAAACACACACACACACAACTGACACACACATATACAAACCTGCCTAAGTGTGTGTGCATGCCTGTCCCAAAAATGCCGCCTTGCGTACATGCGTACGTCCGTTATGGAAAGAGAACTGGACATGTCCAAAGTCGAGGACGTAACTCAGCATGGAAATCATTCCAAACGATTTGCCAGGCGTCTTCTAAAGAGACGTAGCATTGAGTCCGAGTGCGGACGAGATGCCGGAGATCTTAGCCAATCGATTTCTCAGACCTATTTATGTTTAACCCACTTTTGTTTCTTGACCCTCCATTCTAAAGAGAAGCAATGCGACAGAAACTTCAGAAATTTCAAGTCGAGCGTTTGGCGCATGCACTCATACATACATACATGCACACATGCACACTATTCGTAGATCTAATTGACATCCATGAGCGCACCCAGGCAACGCTCAAAGTGAGAGCGAAACAAATAGCGACACGCAGCATCGATCTCGCTCTTTCGCACAAATCTCAGAATGGTTTCGAGCGAATTCGAACACGAAGTCCGAACGCTGCCAATTTGCAGCTACCTTTGTTCGCACTTGCATCTGTCTGTCACTCAGTCTGTCTCGACTTCTCGTTGAGTACAGACCAACAAATTCGCTCTTGATTTATGTTAACTGATTTATTTTCTTGTTCTTGTTTATGACTGTATTTTTGTTTTGTCTGACTGCGCTCTTCATACTAAGCTTGATTTGTCTAAATTTATTAAATACTTTTCAAATTTGGACATAAATATTTCTCACAGACAAAGACATGCTTATCGGGTGTAATTCCAAGAAAGCAATTAAAATTTATAATCTTCATGTTTGGAGATTGACTGTCATTTAAGGCATCATTATTTGTTTTTGCTATGCAGCTTATATTTTAGAATATTTCTGTTTTTCTTGTTGATGTGTATGTGTGTGAGTGTGTGTGTGGTTGTCAAGCACATACATACATACTTCATGCAATTGACGTCTGGCACGTGGATTACCTGAGAATGATTCCCTTACTGCAAGTTGAGGTTTGGCGGGAGAAGTTTTTTTCAGATATAGATATTTATATGTAATTTTGCGTTTAACGAAAGTTCATTCGGATCGCAGTTCGAATGGGCAACTGGATCGAGTCCCTAATCTTTTTTACACACCTATTTATTGGGTAGTTTATGATGATGCTCTAGACGCTTGAAGCGTCAGGAAAGGGGTTGTTTAATGATATTTCCTAATCAAGTCTTGGCGGGTTTTGTGAAACATGTTCTTTAGAAGAAGGCGGACTAGTCTTAAGTAGGACTATCTCTAGTTCAGGCAGGGAATATTTCTTTAGAGCTTTTTGTAAGTTTTTGCAGCGTTTCTCTGAAGTTTCTCAAAGTATTCGATGCAGTTAAATATGCATGAGGCGACAGGTGAATCTTCCAATGCGATTGCCAAACACATACTTCATGCATTTCCGGTGCAACATTGCAATATTTGATTGAATTCCGTATGAACTGCTTAACTGGCAACTGAACTAAAGTTTCCCCACATAATACCATTTTGAAGTCCGCCCCTTTAACATGGGGTCATGGTCTCGTCTGGAAAGGACATCTGAGCTGGTATCCATACTAATTTGATGGATAGTTCAAAGTAGCCTTAAGACTGAGGCACTCGCTTGCATAGAAACTACAAATACTTATGTGGACTAAGGTTGACTTTCTGTTTAGGCATATTATGGGTTTGGGCTTACAGAGAGTTGGCCCGGGCAAGCCTCGTAATACCCGCTGGTATTTGTATATTCTTGTAGTAAAATAAATTGCTTTCGAAGCTGCATTATGTTGTGCTGGACCCGCTTCGCAGCTATTCCTGGAGCAATTCCTAATAGGCGCAGCTGTCCAAAATGCCAAAAGCGAATTTCTGAATTGCTCAACGAAAGTTGCATTCGGATTTGCGATCTGGATTTCGTTTTGTTGCACTTCGCATACTCTGTTCACATTGTGAAAAGGGTATATTAGTGCTTGGAATTTAGAAATTGGAAATCCTAGCTAGAGCTAAAGTAAAACTGGATCCTCTAAAGATGGACCCATAACTTAATCGCTAATTCTTAGTTTTTATTTTTATTTATTTTAATTTTTCTGTTATAATTGGGAACAACTTGAATTCAATGTATGTGAATATTTGCCTGGTAGTCATCGCGGAGTCGTGCATACCCGACTGCAGCATACTTGTTGTTGTTTGCGCTGGTTCAAAGTTTTTGGCCAAATGCAGCGCAGAATTGTTTAAGTAAACTTTTAAGTTGCAAGTCCGCCGCCAGCTGGCAGCCAACAGCCGCCGACCAGTCGTTGTCCGGTGTCTCAAGTCTTCTAGACCAATACCCCCCCTCCCCCCTCTGTCGTTTCTCGTAATTAAGTTGCACAAAAGTTGGCTGCAAAGTGTTGTTGCAGCTGACAGACATTTCTGCTGCTTGACCATTTGCATTGCCCGGCGGCGCCCAGCCCCGCCCATTCGGCCGCCCTCCCTCTAGGGGGGCGGGGTTGGGTGTGGCCATTGTCCGAATGCTGATTAAAATATAACCGGGCACTAATTAATCCTAATTGAGAATGGTTCGACCAGCGAGTCGTGTTGCAATATTGATTTGCCACCCCTCAAAAGGAATGCCACCCCAGATTATGCAGATACAACGTCTATTCAAATTCCATGGGCAGAATGAGAACCATTAACAAGCTTTAACAAAAAAAAAATCCTTTAACGTTTATCTTCAGGTCTTGTCCCCGTAACAGGCAGAGGAAGCCTAATCCTAGGGCGATTCCTAATCGTGGCACGATCTGAGTCTATCGGAAACTACAGAATTTGTATACTTGAATATTCGCATATATCGATAACTCGTCTGACTTCCATTGCATCGATAAAAATCGATTTTGAGTTTTCGTTTTCGAAGAGAAACTCGAAGACCATAAGAACTAGTTACACCACATTTGAAATGTAGGCTCTCGTTTAGCATATACAGATTGGAAATATTTTACTTTGGTATTGCGCTTTCCGATTTCCCCCAAAAAAGCACATTTGTAGGGTAAGAGTCCTGCTAATGCACACAATCGGACTATAAGCACCGAAGCTATTCCTGATCAAAAATATAATCCTGCCTGCTCTGTCTCTTACAGACATTTGCCTAAAGCCAATATTTCATGCGACCTCATATTTATAGCTGAAATCGGTTTGATCTCTCGGAAAACGTTACAAATTGCACAGAAAATTTGATATGTCCACTGCGAAGGTAGAGTAAAGCATGCCATGTGTCAGATAATTGAGGTAACTGACAAATAGGCAAACTTGGGAGAGAGTAGAGAGAGAAGGATATTGAGAGGCGGTGACTGATGCACAGCAGAGTTGCCAAGTCAGCCGTTTTCTGGCTAAAACAGTTGAGATTTGCAGGTGCCTGTAATGCTGGCTTTAAAACAGCCAGTCAATTGATTTAGCTACTCTTTTTTTTAGCTATTGTCGAGAAATGTTTTGCTAGTTTTAATGATATGGCAACTCCATGACAAGTATTAGCAACCCTGCTCTGCGCTTTTCATGTTTTGTTTCATAACAAGTCTAATGTAAACATGAAATTGCTTCGTGCCAAAAGAGTTCAAGTCAAAGTTCTTGGTATACTCAGATAGATAATCCAGCACAAGCAAGAACAAAAGCTAGACAAGTTTTGGTTGCATTGCCCAAGCAAGCAGGTCAACCCTTCCAAGCCACTTAGAAGGTGGCAACTCTGCGATTTCTCTCTGTCTCAATTGAATTTAGCCGTTTTTTGCTCGCATTAGATTTAGCTACTCTTTTGAAGCGAAAGCTGGCAACACTGTTGCACACAGAATTACCAATTAGGCAGTGTCAAATTTGTGAGACAGCTGGAATGTGAAGGACCGTCCGCTCTGGGGCCAAGGCCTTTTCCATTGCTATGGCTGCGCCCCCCTCTCGCTTTTTCCCGCACCCTCTCTCCGACTCTGTGACGCTTTGCGCCTGGCCTGTCTGGAAGCTCCATACCAATTAGCTTATGGGTAGACCAGTGCAACCTTTTGATTTTCTGCCTCAAAAGAAAATTTTTGAATCACATCATCATTTGAGTTGAGCCTGGGCCTGCAAACAATAGAACACACACACACATATACAAAAATCAAAGAAAATACTTCCAGACTCGAAAGACAGTTACGGAATTCACTGGATATTCAAATTTTCGGTCAACTTTTTTGTGCTGGCAACAGGATGCTCTCGTATATCGATGCGCAGGACTTTGAGGATAGGGGCATGCGACACGCCTTCAATTTCACAAATACCAGACGGTAGGATCGCAACCAACTCCGGCAACTCTACCCCATTCATCCCAATCTTTGTGCCTTCGCAGCAATGCCCAGATGCTGGCCAGCGGCTTTAAGCCGCCTTTGGCTGTGCGCACGGGCACCTCCATAGTGGGCATTGTTTACCAGAACGGCGTTATTCTGGGCGCCGATACGCGCGCCACCGAGGGACCCATTGTCTCGGACAAGAACTGCTCGAAGATACATCGCCTGCAGGACCACATCTTGTAAGTAGACAGCGAACAGCATATCGTTTATTCCAGCCATTCACTCTGGTTATGAATCAATTAGTGTATTCATTCTATTCTTCCATTCATCCGTCTGCATGCATCTATTCCATCAAAAAGATTTCATTCATTCAACCAAACATCCATTCCCCTTCCCAGCCCTTCTTCCATGCATGTATTCTACCCATTCATTCTTCCATCCATACATTCATTCCATTCATCCAGGTGGTTAAGATTCCATTAGTCCATCCAGGTTGATTAGATTCCATCCGCCCTGTGTCCATTCATCTATCCAAGCATGCTCTCGATTCACGCATCACCCTTCCATCCATCCTCCTACATCTTTCCATGCATTCCGTCTATTATCCATTCAACCAGATTGATTACATTTCATCCATGAGTCTATCCATCCTTTCATCCATCTATGTAGCTGCTGTGGCGCCGGCACTGCCGCGGATACGGAGCAGATGACGCTGATGACCTCCGCCGAGCTGGATCTGCACGGGCTGAACACGGATCGTCAGGTGCCGGTGGTCTGTGCCAGCATGATGTTGCGGCGCACGCTCTTTCGCTACCAGGGCCACATTAGTGCAGCCCTCGTCATGGGCGGCGTGGACAAGTATGGGCAGCATGTGAACTGCATTCATCCGTACGGCTCCATTGATAAGTTGCCCTATGCCGCCATGGGTTCCGGCACACTGGCCGCCATGGCTGTGCTGGAGCGTGGCTGGAGCCCCAGCCTCGATCTGGACCAGGGCAAGCAGCTGGTGCGTGAGGCCATTAGCGCCGGAGTTTTCAACGATCTGGGCTCCGGTTCCAATATCGATCTGTGCGTGATCACGCCCAACGGAGCCCAACATCTGCGCACCGAGACCATTGCTAGCGAGCGGGGCGAACGGCTCGGCAAGTATGCGATCCTGCCCAACACGACCCTGGTGAAGAGCATCTCGGTGCAGGACATTGACATAACCGAGGAGCACGTCTATCGACCCTCTGTTTCCCTGTCGCAGGCAGCCTCGCTCAGCACATCCGAGTTCCAGTCGGAACCGCCCACGGACACGGAACAACCGCCGCCGGATAATCCATAAATCGCATACATATATATTTTACGTTATCTACAGACAGACTTGGCCAAACCCTCTATCGTTCGTTTTTCTCTTCTTTAATGCTTAATTACAATTAGACTATCCGCTCGGATCTTAAATTGTGGACATGTCTAGTACCCAAAGTAGTCCACAGATGGCGCCTTGCGGCATATTTTTGATTCTTTATATGAGAAGTCTGATTGTTATTATTGCCCAATCTGCTCGATTGAAATTTCAGCTTTAAACCGAACTGCAATACATTTTTAAAATAATTGCTAGTCGACTAAGAGATACCCTTTAAGACAACACAAACATCGTGGCTTCTGCTGAGGCAATTTTCTAATCCGATCTTTACAATATTTTTAACATATGGATCTATGGGAGTATTTAGTAGAACAATGATAAAAAACTCGCTCGTAATGCTTTAGGCTCAGGGTATTTACAGGGTATGAACTTGTCGTTCACAGCCGCTTGCCTTCTAATTGACAATCTGGCTACATTAATGACAGAGCCTGCCAAATGACAGAGGGTGGGGCAATTCGGTGGTGCGGTGGAATTTTCTCGGTCAAGCGACAATGGCAGCTGGACACACACACACACACACACACACACACACATAGACACACACACTGGCACACACAGACATGTAGGTATATGTTTATTTAGCCATTTGCTGTCATGTAGAAGCCAATTTGGCAACATAATAAATTTAAGCTTTAACTGAATTTGCGCTCAACCTGATTATATGTGTACAAATAAATGGCAGCAGGTGGCTCTCGAGTGTCCTCGAATTAATTGAATCCGAGCATGCTGGTTAAGTGGATCCGGGGGTGTGGGTCTGGGTCTGGTTTGTCTGCCTGACTGTAACGGATGTCCTTTATCTACCTCCGTTCCCTCCGGTTGGTCCTTGCTGCTGCAGGGAGAATGCGTCGAGTGCAATTTAATTCAAATCGTGCGTAGCCAAGGGCAACGGTTACGGTTGCGTTGTCGACGACACATCCTGCTGCTCCACAGCCAGGCTCCAGCAGCAGGATTGGCTCCGGGTTGGCCGTTGGGAATACGCCCCTCTGGCCCTTGGAGCTGCCACTTTACAGCCGGTTCTTTATGGGGCCACACACATATCCTTTAAGTTGTCGCATGCAAATCGAACGCCAGGGCCCGGCGCCAGGCTCAGCTTCAGCTGCATTGCTTGAGTGTTACACGGGAAGGGGGGGAAATGGGGAAATGGAATCAAAGGCCGAGCCGAGAAACCAACCAAATTTGTCGCCTCCGTTCGTAGGCAAAATATGCCGCCGGATATTGACAGGCCGGCAATAAAAAACGACAAAAGGCGACAAAAGGGACAGAGCCCAAGACAAAATAAAGGGTTTCCTTGCCCAGCCGAAGTTGAAATACTCTCGCGTAACTCTGGCTTCCAAGTGTTCTTATACAAAAGCTTTGTTGTCGCAGTTGGGGAAGACCTATGCGATGCGGATGTTTGGGAGACTTGTAGAGCGTCTAGTTCATACATATTATTGATATAATAACTTGGTGTTGATGAGATTTAGCTTAAAAGACACAAAGTAGAGCTCGGCCTTAGTCTACATAACTTAAGCAAGTTAGTTTGGACAAAGTTTTTCTTTTGTCAGCCAATATGTATCTGATCCGGTTCTGAAATATAAACTTCCTGCCCGGAAGACGGACTTATGCCAGACTCGCCTCCTGCTATTGATGAAGAATATATGTATTATATTATTTATGGGGCTTATAAAGTCTCTCTCTCTCTCTCTCTCTCTCTCTCTCTTTTTTCTCTCTCTCGCTCTCTAGGTTACATATTCCGTGTCGAGATTATAATACCCTGCACAAGACTGTGGAAACCTGCGCACATGCTAGAGACGGACTTGCTTTTGATCGTGACACGCACGTCTTTGGCCGATATGTTCAGGATCGAAACGATTTGCGAACAATGCCGAAAATTGACTGAGAAATTATATTTTATATTGCACAATTTCTGGGTTTTTTAAGATATCTTAACAAAGTCTCTGGGAAACAGGACTTGCAAGGCAAATCAATGAAGTCCTAGGTACTCGTTCCTGTATCCTGCTTCGACTCAGCTTAAAACAAAAGTATTCTCCCACATGCAAGCTCAGCACGGGTCAAGTTGGTTTGGGGGTTGGTTAAGGCCTCGGGGTCTTACGCACAGTGTGTCAAAAGTCAAGCTCCTCTATAAAAAATGTTATGCAGCATTTTTATATTTGATTAATGTTTGTGCTCCAATTTGCCAAACTGTTTGTAATTTGATGAGAATATTTATTTGCATGCCTCTCACCACTGTGGCACGCATTCAAATGTCATGCGGATGTTGCGGATGAGGCTCATGTTTGTCGCCGGACCTCGGACGGAGCGACACAGCACGTGATCTGGCATACGGAGAAGCCCACGGACGGACGGATGGTCGACTAAGTTGGGATAAGCTGCAACATGTACATACATATATAAATACACGGGCTGTTCATAAAATTTCATGTAATCGTGTGCAGTCAGCTCTCAGCATACAGAAGCTTTTTGCAGAGGTTCCATTAACTACACGATGCTCGGGCGAACAGCTCGTTTTTCATTTATGCTTTTGTCGCTTTTTCGTAAACGTTTTACTGTCAGCTTATTCGGAATGCCGCCGTTCTGTTTAAGTGAAGTCAGGCTTCTTGGGTGAAACACTTCCTTCTTTATTTCTTACCATTTTTCGGGCAACTCTAAATAAATCTCTACTCCTTCCCTTTGCCTTAAACATTTCACTGGCCATATTGTTAAAGTTCAGGATTTTCGTGGTTTTTTTTTTGTCCCGCCCTAGCCAGCATCTTATAATCCCTAGATATATCCTTTAGTTGAAAAAAATAGTCGCGCATGCTCTACGAGCTGCTGCATATCAAAAAGCTACCTGCGATTGGGTAGTTATTTATTGTAACCGATTGGCAGGGCCCTGTTGCCGGGCCCAGGAAGTTGCGAGAGCCAGCCTCGTGTCATGGCTTAGCCTTTGTCACACACCACCTCGTCCGGCTATTGTGTCAACTTGTTGGGCGGACTCTTTGAAACTCGAGCGCTGTTGCAAGTTTTTGTTCAGCAGGCAACCACGTGCCGCCACGGCCAGGAGCGAAAGCTTTGCTTGAGCCCCCCCCCCCCCCCCTTGCAAATGGCCAAAAAAGGGTATATTGTTTTTGTGCAATCACATGGGACAGGCAGCAGATAGCACCCACGACCCCTTGGAGTGTATATATATATAGTCTATGTACTCTATTTTGTGCAATACAGCTTAGCACGGAAAGTTTTATAAGAATCGGAGCAGGAGGCGAGTCTTCTACAGGCACTGGGCATCTGCTAGTCAGGCATAGCCGACAGTAACTTTTGTTACTCTTGCCCGATCCGCTTGTTTGTCTTTGGCGAACAAAGGAAAAAGAGGTAATCAGGCTGCCATTTAGCTAGCGCTGCCGGTGGCAACCAGCAGCAGCAGGACAACTAGGACAATGGAGCACGCGCACCAGGAGCCAGGAGCTAGGACAGGACAGGGCTATCGCACACGGTCTGCCAGTACGTGCATTGTGTAATGCGAGCCACGTCTCTCGACGTGCTTCACAGCCTTAAACAGCGCACGGCCATATGTCGTCCGGAGGTGCCACTCTACCCACTCCCTCCCTAGCCCCTCCCCCCGGGCAGTTGTTGTCGCTGTCGTGATTGTTCCTGCAGGACTCCCAACACATAATGATTTAACAGAACACAAGGCGCGCGCCACTTCATTATCGACAACACTTGCGCCTAATTAGCACCGCACACGCGTCGTATACGCAATGAGTAATTGCCGGTTACCTTGGCCCCACACACACCACGCACACACCACACACCACACACACACACACAGGAGCAGCTGCTGTGGAGCAACCACAGACAGGACGAACCAACCGCACAGCAATACGCATCTGCATGATTTCAAATCGTCTGCGGTCAGTTGGCAGCTGATGTTGCGGCTCGCTTTATCAATGCGGTGCTTGCGGTTAGCCAGTGGGTGGTTGGGTGGTTTAGTGGGTGGTTGGGTGGTGCAGCTACATCTGCACTTAGGCCAGTTGGCCGGCGGGCCAACCAAACGTTTAGTTGAAGCGAATACCTGAGATACACAATAACTGTTTCTCCCGCAAATGGAAGCTCGTCGTTTCAGCTTGTATTTCCATGATATATTGATTTAGACAAAGCTACCTATTTATATGGCTTGATAAATCCAGTGGATAGAGCTCGATTGGGACAGTACTTCGTGTAGCATAATTTAATGAATCTCACTTGAGATACTCCAAAAAAAAAAATCGTCAAAAAAGTTTTTTTTTTTTTAACTTATATGTGTTTATTGTATTGAATAAAAAAATAGCATACATTTTTATTACAAAACCGTTAGCTTAGGTGGTATCTCGCCAATCCTGGTTGGCTCCTCAGGCTTTATCGTGGACAAACGTCAAATCCGTCTTCTGTGAGGAAGGCTGCACCGTCACGTAGGTAGTCGGTGGGCTCTGGGGCTGCTCCTGGGTCGTGGTTGGAGGAGGTCTCTAAAGGATCTTTTCTTGAGCCTTCTGACTACACACCTCTCAGCGAGGTCTCTTGTATGGGTTGGCGAATGCTTCGACTCTGAGATTACTTGGCCGAGATAGTCTAAAAAAATAAAAAAAAAGGTTCAACCGATCAATTTATAATTTCCTTGAATGCTACATGATAGTAGGGATCCGCACGAATTGAAAAAGGTATAATATTTTAAAATCAGATTATATTTACCCGAGATTTTCAAAAAAATATTCAAAAAAGTTTTGATATTCGAACCTACCCCGGGTAATAGCTCTCGGGTAATAGCTCCGCGCGGAGATATGACGTTCCAAAACGACATAACTCCGCTTGGAGATATGACGTTCCAAAACGACATAACTCCAACATAACTCCGCTTGGAGATATGACGTTCCAAAACGACATAACTCCAACATAACTCCGCTTGGAGATATGACGTTCCAAAACGACATAACTCCGACATAACTCCGCTTGGAGATATGACGTTCCAAAACGACATAACTCCAACATAACTCCGCTTGGAGATATGACGTTCCAAAACGACATAACTCCAACATAACTCCGCTTGGAGATATGACGTTCCAAAACGACATAACTCCGACATAACTCCGCTTGGAGATATGACGTTCCAAAACGACGACTTTTTTGAATATCTCGGCCAAATAATGTCCGATTTTGTTATTTTATACCATTTTCGACTCGTAACGATCAGTACTATCGATTGGCATCAAAAATATTAAAATCTAAATTTTGACCAAAATCGACCAAAAAGCAAGGGGTTACATCACGTTTTTTGTCAAAATCGGGGTCGTTCCGAAAGTCAAAACTTTTTTGACGATTTTTTTTTGAATATCTCTGGTAAATACCGTCTGATTTTGAAATGTTATACCTTTTTAAATTCGTACGGATCTCTATTATCAATTGGCATGCAAGGAAATTAAAATTCGATGCCCTAAAAAAAGTTGTTGGCCAAAAAACGATTCGTTTGTAAAGTCAACCTTTTTTGATGTTTTTTCGTTC